TGTCGAACAGGTGAAGGCGCTGTCACCAAAGCAGAAGAAGCTCACTCTGGAGTTAAGTACACAGGGAAGCAAGTCAGCTCAAGTCAGTGCACAACACACGCACGCACGCACACGCGCACGCGCACGCACATGAAAATGCGCTCAATGGAAGCAACGCCAATGCACTCCATTAAGCAGCAACCCACAAAGCGCACACCGTGCACCTCTGCCACTAACTGTTCCCATGTACTCATTGCGTCTGCGTGCCTTTCTCCCACACGTGCATGTATGTATGCATTGTGTATGTATGTGTGTGTGTTGTGTGTGTGCTTGACAGTCTCTGCACGCCCGTCAACTCGGACCACGTCGCAGTCGACACCCATCCCCAAACGCTTCTCGTGGTGCGTTGTCACCGTGTGAGAGTGTGCATGTGTGTGTGTGTGTGCACGTGTGTGTGCACGTGTGTGTACTTGTGATGCGACTTTACATGGGGTGTCGACCAAGAATGCTGTCGACGAGCATGATTCGTTGTACGCACGACGCCAACGTCTCCACCCCTATCACCACCTCCTCCATCACCATTACTCTCATCATCGCCCTCTGTCACTGCAATTCCACATCATCCCACCTCCAACACACACACACACACACACACACACACACACACACACACACACACACACACACACACACACACACACACACACACACGCACACAACGACAGGCGGCACGGCCCGGATGAGAGCGTGTCTGCACGGCGCCGCCGACCAAGTGGCATTGGCGGCCTCAACACATCCGCAGCGAGCACAACAGCAGCCGGCAACCTGTCCACCACACTGGCAACAACAACGGGGTTTGGCTCAGCGCCAGCCACGCCATCTGCCGCGCTCTCCACGTCCGTGTCGCCATCATCCCACTACTACACGCCAGCACGCGGCTACCCTGCGCCCACCACGACTGGCGCTGCTGACATGTACGCACGCACCCCCGCCCGCGCCGTGTATGGGGATGCAGGGAGCGCCAACGCCAGCATGATGTCCGACTCTCGCATGGCATACCCCGCCAGTGGTGGTGGCGGCGGTGGTGGTCTGGGCACGTCGTTTGCTGGGAATCAGTCGTGGGGCGGGCGCAGTCCCGGGCAGTCGTTCCTGTCGTCTTCCAGCCTCGACGCATCCATCAGAAGTGCGCATGTGTGTGGTGTGTGGTGTGTGCATGTGTGTGGGTGTGTGGATGTGTGTGGTGTGTGGATGTGTCGGTGTGTGTGTGGGGGGGGGGGAGGAGGCAGAACGGATGCGTGTGCGTTTCGCTTATGCGCGGCTACACTGTCTGCCCCTGTGATTGTCTGTTTGTTTGATTATCTGCACCTTGTTTCACCTCATACACTCTCGCTTCCCCTTTACCCCTTGGTTGCGACAGGCGATTCGTTCTGGGCGGCAACACGTGAGTGCACACGACCACAACACGGCCTGCGCCGTACCTGTGCTTGGTGGTTGTCGATGTTGTGACGTTGTGATGCCAACAGCAAGCATGCTGCTTGTTCCCCTCCGTTCATGACAACTCACCCCGCACGTACACACACACACACACACACACACACACACACCACACACACACACACACACACACACACACACACACACTGGCCACCACATTCCACCGCCGCCTTCAACCACTGCATCGCATCACTGCATCAACCCGTCATGCCATGGGTCACTGTTTCTGATGTCATTGTCTGCCAGCGCACCGCCGCCCAAAGTTCCAGCCAGCCGTCAAGTGAGTCCGAAATGATGTCACGCAAACCGCTCGCACGTTGCATGTGTGCAGTCGTACCATTCATGTGCAGCTCCTTGTTGTATTGGTTTCGCTCACCCCTGCACAAATCACCATGGCCTCAGCCATCTCATGATCGTCTCATCATTGCCGCCATCCCCACCACCATTCCCACCGCACCACATCACGACACCCCCCATGCCACCATGCATCTCACAACCACCACCACCACCACCACCACCACCACCACCACCACCACCACCACCATCCACACCCCACCTCCACCGCTGTTCTCGCCACGGGGCAAAGGTCGCCTGAGCGGAAGCCGCAGGAGAGCGTTGACGAGCGCGTGGTGCCTGCTCCCGTTGTCTTCCGGCGCATCTGCCCCAGCAGAGAAAAGTGGCAGCAGTCCCTCTTCCTCTGCAAGCAGGTAGGATAGTGGAGAAGCAAGGGAGGAGGGGAGGGGGAGGAGAGAAGCAGGGAAGCAGGGAAACAGGGGAAGGAGAGATGGAGGGAAGGAGAGATGGAGAGATGGAGAGATGGAGGGAAGCAGGTGAGACAGACCAAAAGAGATATTGTGTGTCCGCGTATTGTTCCTGACATTCAACGTCTCTTCCCAATCGGCTCACACACTTTTTTGTTTTGGCAGTGGGTTGACTCCATTCTCAAGGGAATCTGGTTTGACATTGAACGCGTCAACGCATTGCTGCAGAAGTAGGTCACCCTCACATTACATGCCTGGAATTTGTTGTTGTTGTTGTTGTTGTTGTTGTTGTTGTTGTTGTTGTTGTTGTTGTTGTTGTTGTTGTTGTTGTTGTTGTTGTTGTTGTTGTTGTTGTTGTTGTTGTTGTTGTTGTTGTTGTTGTTGTTGTTGTTGTTGTTGTGTATGTGTATGTGTCTGTGCTGTGTCTGGGTTGTTTTTGCCACTGAGCTGTTTGCACATCTCCGCAGTCAAGTGTACATCACCACAATGACGTCACAACCCGTACGTGCACATCTGCCGCCCCACACGTGTCTGCGCTCCATTCGCATCTCACCTTCAATCTCCTCCAACGCCACCGCCGGACGCGGCCATGCTTTGCCAGATCCCCCGATCGCCACCGCATCGGTGTTGACTCCCTCGCCACCATCCAGGCAGCAGCGCATGTACGGCTGGAGAGGGGAGGGAGAGAATCAGTGCTGTTGTGCTGGTGGTGGCGATGACGACGTTTTTCAGCAACGGCCTTCACTTTCGATTACCAGCATCCCCTTTCCCTTTCACTCACTCACTCACTTTCTCACACTCACTCACTTCCTCACCGCCACGATGATCATCACCACCACCGCCACGATGATCATCACCACCACGACCGCCATTTCTCGCCGCGGCGTTCAGGGCGATGCATACAGTCCGCTGCAGGGGGTGTTGCCTGTGCTCCAGCTCGACCCGGCCAACCAGCGCTACCTCGTCGCACGCATCAGAGGTGGACCGTAGCCATGCCGTGGCGGTGGTGGTGGTGGTGATGGATGTGGTGATGATGATGGCGATGGGGTGGTGGTGCTGTGTGTGTGCAAGCAGGTTGATGGTTGACATGCAGCTTTGTGGATTGTTATGTCCTGCCAATGACGTAAGCCCTGTTTGCCACTGTGCTGTGCGCCAGACCTTGCCACGCGCCGCGGATACCACACGACCGGCGGGCACGCCGTTGTTGATCTTGAGGGAAAGACTATCGCCTACTCTGACGCCCTCCCCTCAGACGCCTCGGTCCGCACATGTCATCTCAATCAATGGTGTTGCGTGTTGTGCGCTGCGTGAGTGTGTGCGTGGGTGTGTTTGAGAAACATGCAATTTCAGCACTGCCTTGTCAGCGATAGTCCGTGTCAAGCTCACACGCACGCATGGACACACACACATAACACACAACACACACACACACACACAACACACCGCACACACATTACTGCGCGTGCATTATCGCGGTTTCTCCATCACGCGCAGATTGTGTTCCACTGCGTGTGCTGCTTCCTTGACCACGAGTCGACGCTGTACCACCGGAATCCTGGCGATATTGTCCACCCGGACCTGCGCACATTCTCAAACCTTCACGTCGTCAAGTATCCAGAGGTGCGTTTGGTTGTGCATAACTGGTGGTTTTGTGGCATGGATGTTGCTGTTGTTATGTTTCCATGCGAAGGTGTGATACGTCCTCTCGTGCTTTTTGGGATTGCATGACTCAGCACCCACAAACACGCTTGCATGCTTGTGTGTGTGTGTGTGTGTGTGTGTGTGTGTGTGTGTGTGTGTGCAGCGTGTTGCTGATCTGGAGAAGCGCGCCGTCAAGACAAGCGTCTACATGTACTTTTCACAGTACGCGATCATGGTGTCGGTGCACTGCTTGCGGAATGCTGTTTATGCCCGCATGCAACACATTGTCCAGCAAATTGTATTCGTACTCACTCACGCACTCCCTCACCTCCCTCACTCACACACACACACACACACTCAACTCACTCACATTGTCGTCGTTGTTGTTGTGAATTGCAGGCTGTCGCCACCAGTGTTCAAGCTCATCACACGCAAGGATGGCAAGGCCTCTGTTTGGGAACTCGGCACCGTGAGTCCTGCTGTGGTTTTGAGCCTTGTTTGTTTCTTCGTTTCGCTGCGGGTTGCTGTCTTGATTTGGTGGTGCGTGGCTGTTTGCTGCTGTTACAGTTCTGCGCTTGCGTGTGTACGTGCACACATGTATTCTAACTAACACACACACACATGCACACACACACACATGCACACACACACACACACACACACACCGCAGGGGCACGACAGCCTGTTTGAGTGCATTGTGGCGTTTGTGTGGTATGTTGTGAAGATGGAAGGTGGCGTAGTGGACGACCATGCGCAGATGCGGTTTGCACCGGGAGGGCTGCGCGTCTACGAGATTGTGGAGCCCCTCATCAACCTCTGATGTGCGTGTGTGTGTGTGCGTATTTTTCCATGTTGGGTGGTATTGAACAAGTCGATGCACTCAGTCATGTGCAGTGGGTTCGCAAGATTGAACAAAGAAGGGAAGGGGAGAAGGGCGGGGGAAGGATGGAAGGATGGAAGGAACGAAGCAAGAAACGATGCCACACACACCCACACACACACACACACACACACACACACACACACCACACACACACACACACACACACACACACACACACCCACACACACACACACACACACACACACACACACACACACACACACACACACACACACACACACACACACACACACACACACACAACAACAACTGTGGAGAATTCGCTGCATCTTGGTCTACTTTTCCTTGGCAACTTGCTTGTTTTGACTGTGCTGCACTCGACCACTCCTGCACCTGCGCCTTCATTCGTCCCTATTGTGTGAGAGAGAGAGTGTGTGTGAGCTTGCCTCTGTCAGCCAGCTCGCAAACGAGTGGGCCGGAAGAAGAAGAAGAAAGGGCCACCATGTCCAACCCAACAGCGGCAGAGCCGTTCAAGCCCCGCAAGATCCGTGTGTATCGGTTCGTCTGGGTCCTGTGTGCACACAAACGTGTTTGTGTGGGTTGTCCTGTGTGATTTGATGTCCGCACGCACGCACGCTGTCTCCGCAGTGCCTGCCGTTCACCTAACCACCCCCAGCGACTACACGCACACACACACACACATACACACGCACATACACACGCACGCACACAAACATACACTCATTTGTGTGAGGAGGGATCACCCAATTCTTACTGTTGTGGCTGCTGCTGATGATGTTCATTGTGTTAGGAATGGGGACACCCACTTTCCCGGACGGAACATTCTCATCCGCAACCCAAAAGTTGACTTTACCGTCTTCTTGGACGTGGTATGTGTCGACTCTCTGACTTGCTTCGCTGCAGTGCGTGTCCATGCGTGTGTGTGGGGGGGGGTGTCGGGTCGAGTGATGTACACGTCTAAGTTTTTTTTCCCGCTGTTTTCACACCAGGACAGACAGAAGACACACACAGACACACACAGACACAAACACCCAAACACACAGACACACACACACACGCACTCACTAACGCACTCACTCACACACACACACACTACACGCGGCAATACTGATGTGCACAACTGCTGTTGCTACAATTGTGGTGGCTGAACAACGCAGGTCACGCAGGGCGTCAAGGCCAACTTTGGTGCGGTGCATCGCCTGTATGATGCCGAGACAGGGCACCGTGTCCGCGCCATCCTTGATTTGGAGGACGGCCGCGCGTATGTGGCTGCCGGCAAGGAGCGATTCCGCCCATACGCATATGCGCAGATCCCCGACGCAAAGACGCTGGGCAAGCCGCTGCGAGGCGGGGCAGTGAACCCGCTGCCGCCTGTGCATCATATCCGCAAGCCTGTTCGCTCCGGCCGCGCACGCAAAGCCGCCGCAGCAACCAGGCCCATCATCATCACGTCAGTTGTTCGGGCAGAAGAGAAGGAGGGGGGGAGGTGACGCTTTTTGTGTTGTGTTGCGTGTGTGCGTGTGTTTGTCTGACATGAGTGTCATTTGCATGCATGTCCATGTACTTCTGTGTTGTTTTACGTGCAAATCCACTCTCGTGTTCCACTGACATGTGCTCACCTCGCCATCTGCCTTGCTCGACAACCTCACACGACACCCCGCCCCTACCCCCGACTCCGCGTTCTTCCAGCGTGCTGCGCAACGGTGAGACGGGTCCCGGGGTGAAGCTGATGCTTGGCAAGCGCGACCGACTAACCTTCGATCAGGTGTTCCGGCAGATTGAGGAACGCGTCGCCCTCCCCGCCGAACCAATCCGAAAGGTGCTGCCGTGCGCTATGTTCCACGTGAATGGTGTACTGATGAACACTGAAGACAGGGCAGCGCTGCTAGCATTTTGGTACCTCCATAATACAATCACACACACACACACACACACACACACTCTCTCTCTCTCGCTCTCTCGCTCAGACACACGTTGCATCGCCATCCACCCCTCACCTCACCTCCATGTCAATTGCCCTCCGCCCCTGAACTTTCCACCGGCTCCAGATGTGCGACCTGCAGGGCCATCGCGTGAACACGCTCGCAGGCATCTTCGATGGCGCTGTGCTCGTCGCTGTTGGCCGCCGCCACAAGTTCAAACGCGCGCTGTACGAGAACATGTCGCAGGACGACTTTGCAGTGCAGCACTCGCCCTCACGTACGCACCCTCATCACGACAGCAGCAGCAGCAACAACCCGCCCATGCACTCGCTCAACAACAAGGCCGTCTTGCCGGTGAGTGGACGCGCGCGCGCGCGTGTA